TTATAGATAATCCCGTCTCCTTGGTGCCTTAGGTGCCCAAGGCCCTGGGATACCTTGGTAGGGCCAGGTAGGTACTTCATACCATGCTACTGCATGGCCTGATGTCCAGTGATGTCTCGAAGAAACTACTCTCTTGAGCCGAAACGTCATGTACATTAGTGGCACGGAGCAGGTACCTCTTATTTTTGCATCTGGCTAAGTGGGCCTGTTCGACTTGGGGATGCAGGGGCTGAGGGGCCAGAGCTGCCAGAGGGGGGGCTCTGCCGCTCTGGGGGGTCTAAGGGGCCAAGCCGCGTGTTTCTGCCCTCGGTTTCTGCCAAGTGGCCAGAATGAAACTGTACCTGACCCCTGCCAGCCCCTGTCCGCCGGCAACGCGACGCCTGTGCAGTTGTAATTTATTGCCCGAGGGCTGCCCTTTTCGACCACCTTCATCTAACCTCCGCCGACAGCATCGGTGACGACACACCACGCGGCACGAATATCGTGGCTGTGAATCCTCTCTCGTATGGGCTTCCCAGCAGTCTACACTGCTCTCCTTTCCCGTGAGTAGCTACCAGCTGCGCCCGCCCCTGAAAGTTGCCATCTCTGCGGGCAGCTGGCCACCTGCCCAAGCAGTAGCTAGCTGCTCTGCTTTGCTGACTGTGGTTGCTGACGATCGCCTCTGTTCTCCAGCAGCATTTTATCGACCTTCCACAGGACCGTACTGAGCTTCACTGTTCCGGCCATGGCGACTTCGCAGGGAAGTCTGCGCCAGCGCAATGTCCCGGGCTCATCTAAGAAGAAGAACGGGGTGGCTGCTGGTGTGGAAGCCGAGCTCGACAAGCTCGCAAAGGCTACCAAGCAGACCAGCGGCGCCAACTCGGAGTTGAGCTACAAGATTGCTTTCACCATAATAACCGCTCTGGCCTTCCTTTCTCGCTTCTGGGGCATTGGCCATCCCAATGAGGTCGTTTTCGACGAAGTGCACTTTGGCAAGGTAAAGATTCTGGTTCCTCTTTTCAGATCACCTGGCGATCGAAGAAGAATCTCCGGCTAACCCATGCTTTTCTCAAACCAGTTCGCCTCGTACTACCTCCAGAAGACCTACTTCTTCGATGTGCACCCGCCCTTCGGAAAGCTCCTGTTCGCTCTTATGGGCTGGCTCGTGGGATACGACGGTCACTTTCACTTCGAGAACATTGGTGATTCCTACGTGGCAAACAAGGTTCCCTATGTAGCCTTCCGCGCTATGCCGGCCATTCTCGGTTCCTTAACCGTGTCGGTTGTCTTTCTGATCATGTGGGAATCTGCCTACAGCCTTCCGGCCTGTGTGGTTGCCGCCGGCCTTGTCCTCCTCGACAACGCCCACATTGGGCAGACGCGATTGATACTGCTGGACGCTACTCTGGTCTTGGCCATGGCTTGCAGCCTGCTCTGCTATATCAAGTTCTACAAGATGCGGCATGAGCCCTTCAGCCGTAAGTGGTGGAAGTGGCTGATCCTCACCGGCTTTGCGCTCTCATGCGACATCTCCACCAAATACGTGGGACTGTTTGCATTTGTCACCATTGGATCTGCCGTTGTCATTGACCTCTGGGACCTCCTGGACATCAAGCGCCCTGGCGGCGCTCTGAATCTACGAGACTTTGGCTATCACTTTGCCGCCCGTGCCATGGGCCTGATCGTCGTGCCTTTCCTTTTCTACTTGTTCTGGTTCCAGGTGCACTTTGCCATCTTGACTCGGTCTGGTCCTGGGGACGACTTTATGACCCCCGAGTTTCAGGAGACGCTGTCTGATAACGTCATGCTGGCAAACGCGCTCAACATCGACTACTACGACACCATCACTATCCAACACAAGGAAACAAAGGCATTCCTCCACAGTCATGACGCCAAGTACCCTCTTCGATACGACGACGGTCGGGTGTCCAGCCAGGGCCAGCAGGTGACGGGCTATCCGTACAATGACACCAACAACCACTGGCAGATACTCCCTGTTGATGATGACCAGCAGATGGGCCGTCATGTCAAGAACCATGACCTTGTCAGGCTTCGTCATGTTGGTACGGATACGATCCTTCTGTCTCACGATGTCGCATCCCCCTATTTCCCCACCAACCAAGAATTCACCACAGCCGCTCCTGCGGATGCCCTTGTAGGCCGCGCACAGGATACCCTGTTCGAGGTTAGGATCGAGCACGGCAAGGCGAACCAGGAATTCAAGAGTGTTTCGAGCCACTTCAAGTTCATCCACAATCCCAGCAAAGTGGCCATGTGGACGCACACAACACCACTACCGGAATGGGGCCACAAGCAGCAGGAGATCAACGGGAACAAGCAAATCACGCCGAGCTCCAACGTCTGGCTTGTCGAGGACATCCCGTCCGTTCCTGCGGACTCACCCCGGCGGATGAAGGAGGAGCGCCAAGTCAAGAGCCTGCCTTTCCTGAGCAAGTGGTTCGAGCTACAACGTTCCATGTTTTGGCACAACAATCAGTTGACTAGTAGCCACCCGTATGCCAGTCAGCCGTTCCAGTGGCCCTTCCTGCTCAGAGGTGTCAGTTTCTGGACCCAGAACGACACTAGACAACAGATCTACTTCCTAGGCAACCCTATTGGTTGGTGGATTGCCAGCAGTCTCATCGCTGTCTTTGCTGGCATCATTGGTGCCGACCAGGTCTCTCTGCGTCGCGGCGTTGACGCGCTGGACCACCGTAAGTCGACCATTATTTCTGGTCTTTTGCCAACAAGCTGATTCTAATCTCTCGTAGGCACGCGTTCTCGCCTCTACAACTCGACCGGGTTCTTCTTTCTCGCATGGGCCACCCACTACTTTCCGTTCTACCTCATGGGTCGCCAGCTGTTCTTGCATCATTACCTCCCTGCCCATCTCGCCTCCTGTCTAATTGTCGGCGCTCTGCTCGAGTTCGTCTTCAACGCGGAGCCGTCTGCGGAAGAATCTAGTCACCACGATGTTCAGGCAGACAAGTCGCGCGGCCCAGGACCTCGTCGCCACATAACCGCTCGGGAGAGGTTCGCGGGACAGAGCATGGTCTCGGCCTGGCTCGCCTGTATCGTGATCCTGTTGCTGGCCGCCGGTGGCTGGTACTTCTTCCTGCCGCTCACTTATGGCTACCCTGGGCTTGATATAGACCAGGTGCTGCGGCGCAAGTGGCTAGGATACGACTTGCATTTCGCCAAATAAGAGCCCGATGGGGATAGATGAGCTCATCTACTTCATCTTACGCGAGAGTCCTGCGCGGCTACTAATGTACGATTAGATCTATGGAGAAGATCCAGACAGGCTGGCGTAGCCCGGGAACATACAAAAGTCATTTCTCCATGTGTTCACTTGGAAATTGCCGTAGCGACTGGCTGCTTGGGCGATTGTGTATGATGACGATGGTGTTATAGACATGTTGGTGGAGGCCGTTCGCATAGAACGGCGAAGGGGTTCGGCAGTGAAACTCAAGACATCAACTACGAATCGATGTACAGTAATTCCGGCAAACCCACTTCATGTACAGAATGATAGACATTTCGAACAATTACACCTGTGATCTCGTCACATGTCTGACCGACAATCTCGGCACATGGTTTGCCATCAACGAGTCCCAGGGGCTCGGCCTGGGGCTAATGTCTCTACTCCGTACGGCAGGGGTGTTTTGCCCGTCAAGGGCATGTGAACGGAGTCAATCAGAGTCTATGAGACAGATATGCCGCCTCGGCACGCCAAAAGTGTTAAAATGGTATGATTGCTAGTAAGCCAGAGTCGGGCCAGTATTGTGAAGGCAGCAGGAGTCGATGTAGTTGTATTTCCCAAGCAAGGCTCCACACATCCGAGGGAACTACAGTCTGCCGCCATGCCGCGCTAGGGTCTTATCCCCGTGGGCATAGGCTGTATATAGCCGGATAAGAACAGGATTTTCCATCTGCGGGGATAGCTCAGTTGGGAGAGCGTCAGACTGAAGAACAACTTCAGTTCATGAGTAAATCTGAAGGTCGTGCGTTCGATCCGCACTCACCGCACTATCTTTTCCTTTTGGTCCAAGTCGAATCAGTCGAATTTTTGATAGATCTCCTTTCGATTGCAGGATACCTAAGGAGGTACCAATCAACTCCTTGTCCGGTGGACCTTTTCTTGAAGTTTTGTGCGGACACCTGCTGGTACTATCTAGTATTCGGGCAATGGATCGATCCTATTTTGTTCCTCTCTCTCTCTCTATTTGTTTTTGTTAGTTACCCGTTCACAACTCAGTAAGTCTTACTTGGTAAGGGATCACTTTTCGTGCTTTCACAACAAGCTACCGCTCAGTACTCGTCAAAACACCATGAGAACTAGATAAGTTTACACAATCAAAGTCAGTCAACCAGGGGTGCATACCGTAGTCAATTCCCAAATCGCGTGGGTGCACAGCGTGGCCCTAGGATAGCCACCTCAGGTTTCAGCCAAACATCGATATCGTGCTTCGCATATGTGTGCTTCATCTCATGCTTTTTTTTATGAATGAGTCCCCGGCTTTCGGTACACTCGTATTGTGTTTGCTGTTGAAGCCAGACAGAAGAAAAGGAGTCTGCTGCCTTTATTCCCGCAGCGATGGGCCAGCCGCCAGCCATCCCGGAATTACCTGTAGTTGAATCGTGTTCGCATCCGCGATGAGTCGCCTTCATTCAAAACACAGTTTTCCGGGAGCCTCTCTACCTACCGAACCTGATTCACGACCTTCAAGAGTCCGACCTGCCTTTTACACCACACGAGGGGAGCTCGGCGGCCCAACAACATCCTCCCCAGGAACCACGGTCTCCCCCATGCTTGGGCATTTGCTTCCAACGGCTCGAGGCATCGGATGATGTGCACATGGGGACATTGCGCACGCAATGATGAGAGAGAGAGACGGGAGCTAACCTAGGTGGGGACGGGAACGGCCCCGTTCCTTAGCAGCTCGGCCGCCGGCGGGCCTTGCCGGCGCACACATACTCTTACACATATTACAAATTAAATGTACTTTTTTCCATCAACAGCGGGGATAGCTCAGTTGGGAGAGCGTCAGACTGAAGTTCAACTTCGGTTATCACGAATATTAATCTGAAGGTCGTGCGTTCGATCCGCACTCACCGCATCGAAATTCTTTTGCTGCGCGCCTGTGTTTTTTGGTGATGGCTCTGCTGGGGACAAGGTTCGTACGGTTTGCGAGGGGATGCGGAGATCATCGCTGGGATTTGACTCAAACGAGGAATGTTGTGCATGTGCAGAAGTCCGGTAGATAGGATTGACTGAACATTTGGCCGTCGATGGGAGTAAAGTAGGATGTCTGGAGGTATATAGTTTTCCTGAAAAGATATCTACCTATATATAGCAGCTGGCTCTCAGTCCATCCAAGATGAACCATGAATAAACAGTCTTGGTATCATTACCATGAAAGCAGGCTTGTGTCCACCTAGCGGCGTGACACGGGGCTCACTTGTATACAGCACATAGGGCTGCTAGATACACCGAATTGTCTGCGTTTCCGCGGATATCTGGAAGCAGCGAGGCCAGATAAAGGACCTCTTGGAGGGATTCGTCCGCCGACAACTTCCTATGTCTCGGCATACTGGTACGATTTGGTCGACTCCTCGACAGCGACCTCGATCTTGGCATCCTCGAGCTCCTCCCCTTTCACCTTGATGCCGGCGCGCATGACGTCGCCCGGCACGACGGGGCCCACGCCCTTGGGGGTGCCGGTCAGCACGATGTCGCCCTTCTCGAGGGTCATGACCTTGGAGATGTCGCTCAGCAGGCGGGGGATCTGGAAGAGCATGAGCTTGGTCGAGTCCATCTGGCGGTGCTCGCCGTTGACCGTCAGGTAGATCTCAATGTCATGGGGGTCGGGGATGGCGGATTTGGAGATGATGTTGCTCATGGGCAGGAAGGTGTCGAAGCCCTTGGCAATGTCCCACGGGAGGCCCTTCTTCTTGGCCTCGTTCTGGGTGTTCCGAGCCGTCATGTCGATGCTCAGAGCGTAGCCTGCGCCAACCATGTCAATCACGTGAGCTGGGCCACGGCGGGGGGCGGGCGAGCTGCCGAAAACGTCACGCACTCTCAATGGCATCCATGGCCCTCGTGGTGGCGTCGGCCGGGAGGTCCTCGACGCGCTCCTTCATGAGCAGCGCCAGCTCGACCTCATAGTGCAGGTCGACGCCCCGGGGCCGCACCACGGGGCCGGCGCCCGGCAGCAGGATGGAGGACGGCGGCTTCAGGAAGAAGAAGGGCTGCTTGGGCCGGGCGCTGTTGAGCTCGGTGATGTGGTCGCTGTGGGCGGGGGCACCGTGTCAACTGACCGGCGCGGGAGCAGTAGGAGAGCAGAGCAGAGCACTGCACTGGCGAGACGGCGCCGACTCACGCGTAGTTGCGCCCGACACACACGACCTTGCTGGCCTGCTTCAGGGACGAGGTTGCCGTAGCCATGCCGCGACGGAAGACGTTCATGTCGGATGACGGGGCGAGGCCGGATCAGCCGAGCGGGCGGCCAGGGAGGATGACTTATATACAAATCACGGCACGACAGCAAGCGGAAAGCGGAGGGCCGGGCGGAGGGTTGCAGCGTGACGTGCGTGAGCGGCAGCGGCGTGGGAGAAGCTGTGAATGCGGATGTGCAATTGGTCGGGACCTGCTCCTGCACGTCTTTTCACTGCATTGGAAGTCTCTCGGGAAATCGGGGTAGGAAGTCGGCGGTCCGAGCGGAGATGTGGCCGATGGTCGGTCGGCAATTTTGAGAAGCAGGACCGGCAATAGAGAGCTCAGGCCGATCGTGGCCGACAGAAGCAGCGCTAGAACTTGTCTCAGCGCTAGCCGCCATGCGTGGACCGCGGGCTGGTGGGGGAAGATCCGATCCACTGAGACGGGACCAGACGCCAAACAACAAACGCCAAACGCTAAAGACCAGACGCCAAACCTGATTAGACCCGGAGAGCTGGGCTTCGGGGCCGGGCCCGGCGCTGCCGCGCTATGTGTCAAGTGCTACCATAAGGTTCAGCCTTCTGTAATATTACTTGTCTTTTACAGCATTGGACGTTTTGCATGCAACGCCTGCCGCTCGTGGGTGAAAAGGAGGCACGGAGGATGCCCGCGGGATGCGATTGATTCACCCCGCGGGGTCAAGTCCGGGCCAGGTGGCAAGGGCCAGAGAGCGTGTGCTTGCATCATCTGCTATCCCGTGTTGCGCATGCGACTGCCGGGGAGATTCCAGGGTCTTCTGGTGAACAACTACTGTAAGCAGGCATAAGTACCAGGGCACGCAATGTACCTAGCTGCAACGGCCCAGAGGACCTCGCATCCGGTACTGCGGTACGCGCACACCGCTTCCAGCCTGCTCATCAATCATAGGAAGGTAATGATCTGTAAGGCATACCGATTACAATAGCTCACAATACATATCAGCGCACCTTATTCATGCTGTGGTACTTTGTACCTGCCTGAGCTAATACGGAGTAGTCCGTATTACCTGTAAAAGTAGCCTCCGGCCGCTGTTTTCTTCACCTCCGTTCTCCGTTTATCTACCTGCTTCTTATCCCCATCCCAGTGACTCTTTCTACCTTACTCCGCCCATATACATCCCTAGCCGGACCAGATCCCCCCACCCAGACAGAACAGTTTCCACTCCAGATTCATCTTTTTTACGCTTGACATCACAGGTTCGAGAAAACCTCCCCGTCGTCCCCGTCGTCCCCGTCCGTCCCCGTCGACTGCCCTGCCCTACCATGGAGGCACTCCAGCTTGCGCAGATGCTCGCTGATCTGAACGATCTACAAGCTTCCGTACGTCGTCTCAAGCGCTCTTCTTGCCCCAAGCTAAGCTATCCCCGTCTGACTCTGAGGCCACAGCAAGATCAATCAGCCTCCAAGGCCCTCGTAACGGCAAACCAGAACCTCGATCAGAAGAACCAGCTACAGCCGCCCCCCCTGCATCACCGGAGAAGCGCCACCGCTGATGGCCGGCCGGTCTCTACGCCCGGTCGCGTGTCCGACAAGTACGGCCTTCGCATGCTCTCGCCCCCCATGACCCGCACCAACTCGGGCACTCCCGTGTCGGGCGCCGGCACGCCTCGCGACCATGTGCGCTTCCCCCTTGTTGAGTGCCATCTCGCCCTGGCAGCGGCGTGCTGATACCTCACCTAGCATTCCGATACGGACGTCGATCGAGCACACACACTTCTCTCGCTCTGCGAGATCCGCGCCAAGCTCAAGGAGCAGGACAACAGCAGCCTAAACAAGGCACGAGAGAAGATAAACGCCCTGAGCGCGAAACAGGCCCAGGCCGCGACTAGAAACCGGCCTGTGGCCCAGAGGGAACAGAGCGAACCACCGAGAATCAGCTTTCCTCGCAGGTCCTAGTCGGACCTTGGCGGTGTCTTGACTTCGGGGGGTGCATCACGAACGGCGTTACCGGACACTACTACGGCTGGGAAGGGAACACATCAAGTGTGATGAATCGTCGGTACTTTGCGACCATGGTTGTACAAGAATTGGTCTGGGTTTGGTCCAAGGAATGCTACGGTATGACCTTGCTAGGACTACGGTTATGGGCGGAAGGGAAAAAGCACCTTTACTAAGACTAATGGGTAACGACGGAACGATACTGAATATACGACATGACGGATCGGGCTACCATTTCAGCGTGCTGCCGCATGCTGTTCATCTGATTCTATGCTTCCTAATTATTGACGACAGAGCTGACGATTCCTTCCAAGAAGAGGCTTGGGCCAGATGGGTCTTATTTACTGCCGGAAGCAAACGGTGTGACTCGCTGGATGCTGTGCTTCGAATGGCAGAATCTCTGCAGACCACGAGACCGACACCGGCACGACCGGGACAGATTCGGTGAGGCGGGTTCAACAGGATGGGGCATTTATCACGAAAAGCGAATGACGTTGGATATAGGTAAGCACTGGCAACACTTTTGGCGGGGGCAGGTTGCGCAATTCGTGAGATTCAAGGGTTCAGTCCCTTGAAGGTTCCTCAAAGCAGACACGCTCTCGACGGCTTGTGGCCGCCAGCTACAGAAGCAGGCGCCGCTCAGATCTCGGTGTGCGGCATGGAGCGCATGTCCCTACTTCTAGGTGAGAGCAGTGTGCGGCGTGCATTTGACTGTAAACTTTGCAAAGATTCTACTCACAATGGGCTGCGGCAGCAAACTCGTCCATCCGGGACAGCAATGACGTTCTGCTGCCGTACAACTCCACCTGGACCTGTCATGGCAGGGACCAAGTTACAGTGCAGGTGGACATGGACAACGGCGCTCCAGGGCCGGCCGGCAATAAGCGGATCGGCTCCGACCCTGGGCTTGCCCATCTCAGCCTCCTTCGAATGGACCAGCCAAAACCAACGCTCGGGTCACATCAACGGACTTGCTGAGTCGCTCGTCGGGTATCACGACGGGTATGAACTGCTTTAAAGGATTATCTTGTCCACGAAGAAGGGGAGAGGGGAGTTCAAATGAACCCACCTCTCCGCAGAAAGAAGAACAAGAAGAAGAGAAGAAATCGCTGGCAAGACCGTGAGATACACCCACCGCCATGGATAAGACCGCGCTGCTCGTCCTCGACGTCCAACCGAACATCGTCAGCCGCGTCGAGGGCGCTGGTGTCGACATGGACCAATACCTCACCCAGGTAGCCCGGACCACCGCGGCAGCCCGTGGCGTCGGCCTCCTCGTCATGCAAGTAAGCATCCTCCCAGCAGAGGAAGAAGTACCGTACCGTAACGTACCGTACCGCAGGAGCCGCCTGCTGATCAACCCCGGCCAAAGGTGACCACTGGCTTCCGGAACCTGCTCATCGACGCCTCGCCACGCAACCGCATGTCGGCAGCTGGGCGTACGGGCAGCCTGTGTAAGTCCTGATGATATCATTCTATTGTGGGCTACCTTACCGTACCTGCCTACGGTGGGCAGAGGACTGCTTTCTGCAAACAGGAGACTTATATCCTCCAAGGGAGGACACCACCACCTCCGGCACTGGTCAGGATAGTCCGGAGATGCCGACTTAACCAGACCGCCCACATGATTCTTACCCCCCGGAAGCTCCCAAGCTGCCGCTGACCCCGCTGACCCGGCGCTGCGCAGTTCACGAGTCGGACCCGG